GGAGGTGATAGGAATCAGACAGCTAGCCAGCGTGGTGGGGCTGTTAGAGTCCACCAAGCAAGCCATTCTTCCCAGGCCCTTACTTTTCCGGGCTCTGCAACAGCTTCTCAATTTTCGGCATAAAGAAGCCGAGAGAATTTTGACTCTTTAGTCAGTCTAACCCCAGATGCAGCAAAAGATCTACAGTGGTGGATCGGTCATGTGCGCGAAGTAAAGTCTTTGTTCCGTCAAACCTGACAATTTGCACGGATACCTCACTGGAAGGATGGGGGCGCGGCATTGCAATGGTCAGGAGACAGGCGGGCGCTGGTCGCAAACAGAAGCGCGCATGCACTGTGACCAACTGACTAGAATTGAAAGCGGCCTCCCTGGCGCTAAGAAGCTTTGTGAGCGCAGATACTCAGCGTGATCTGCTAAGGCTGGACAACGCAACAGCCGTTGCATATGTGAATCACGTGGGGGGAACAAGGTCGCCAGATTTGGCAGCCTTGGCCCTGGAGATGTGGTCGTGGGCCCTGGAAAGAGGCCTGACGTTGTCTGCAACTCACGTTCCCGGATTGACAAACACCCTAGCGGACAGGTGTTCGCGGGTTTTTTTTCTGGACAAGGTAGAGTGGCAACTGAACCGCTCAGTTTTTCCCTGTCATTGAACAATTGGACAGGCAATGCATTGACAGTAGATCTGTTTGCGTCTCGTATGAACGCTCAGCTGAAGGAGTATGTCTCTTGGCGCCCAGAACCAGAGGCCATGTCGGTGGATGGCGTAAACATTCACTGAGGCAACCTGGGGCTAGCGCATGCCTTTCCCCGCTTCAACCTAGTGTTCAAGGTACTGAGGAAAGTCCAGTCAGACGTAGCAATAGTGATTTTGATACCTCCAGTTTGGGAGTCTCAGGCTTGGTACCCCAAGGTGTTGAACATGTTGTTCGAGAGTCCGGTTCTCCTGCCACAGAGCTGGGATCTGCTGTTCCTGCCGCACAACAGGAGACCCCATCCGCTGTTGCCAGATCTGATGCTTGCCGCGTGGCCAAGATCAGGCGACAGTTGCAGGGTCGGGGCCTTTCGGCAGGGGCTTCAGACCTCATCCTCTCGGCTTGGAGAGAAAGCACTTCTAGACAGTATCAGTCAGCATGGGCTCAGTGGGCCAGCTGGTGTGATAGAAGGGAGATTGATCCAGTTTGCGGCTCTATAGAGAGCGTAGTAGAATATCTTGAATGGATGTTCAGTCAGAACTACGGCTATACATTGTATGTCAATTGGGGTGGCTCGTTCTGCGATCTCGTCTGTACACTTACCAGTAGACCATTGTAATGTGGGTAGTCACCCTCTAGTGTCCAAACTGATGAGAGGTCTGTTTCACAAACGTCCTCCTTGTCCAAGATATGTTTCAACATGGGACGTCAGTCGGGTCCTAGAGTACCTTCTGCATTGTTGCCAAGCTAATAGTCTTAGTTTGAAACAGCTGTTTCATAAGTTGGTAACATTGGCGGCATTGGTGTCAGCCGACAGAGGTCAGACTTTAGCGGCTCTTGACTTGAGATTCATGAAAAAAAAAAAAAAAATGTAGAAACGGTGTTTCTTGGACAATTCCTACCCTGCTGAAACTTCTAGACCAGGGAAACCTGCCAGAAAGTGTTTTTGGGCGGCCTTCCCGCCAGGACAGGCGCTTGTGTGCCTTCACATACCTGAAAGAATATCTAAGGCGGACTTCTTCCCTTCGGAAAGAAGGGGGGGGGAGCAGAAGTTGTTCATATCGTTCAGCAGACCACACAGGCCAGTTGGTTCTGCGACCCTGGCCAGGTGGGTTAAGTCAGTGTTAGGCACGGCAGGTGTTGACACAGCAACTTTCTCAGCTCATTCCACTCGAGGAGCATCCACTTCAGCTGCTACAGCTGCTGGGGTGTCTCTACATAGCATCATGAATGCAGCGGACTGGTCACGAGAGTCTACCTTCCTGAAGTACTACAGGAGGGACAACAACCAACACACGTTTGGCCAGGCTGTGCTGTCCACGGCTCTGAAGTCTGCATAAGGTAAATGATATACCCAAATAGGGAGTGTGCAGGTATAATTGAGGATTAGGCAAATTGTACTTACCATGAAGGATAATCCCAATTATACCTCACACGAACTATTTGGGTATATCTTCCCACCCTTGCTGTTCTTCAGCTTCCAAGTAGCTGAAAATGCCCACCCATGGTGAACAGCACAGACTCTTTCTCGCACGTCGTCAAATGGCGGCGAACATTGTCATTACGTCATGATATCCCGTGATGCTTTGCGATTAAAGCTTTGTACACGTGCGCCACCTAGCGATAAGCATAGGAAATACTGCATAAGGTAAATGATATACCCAAATAGTTCGTGTGAGGTATAATTGGGATTATCCTTCATGGTAAGTACAATTTGCCTAATCCTCAATTTGAGTGAAAAGCTGAGGGCTCGAAATTCATTTTTTGGTGTCGGTGCACAGGTGCACCCCTTCTAAAAAATTAGGTGCCCAAAAAAAAGGCGTGCACAATATAAAAGAAAACCTAAATAAAGATCTTACTGCTCCTCTTCCGAGCTTGAATCTGAAATGGGAGCTGTACTACAACAAAAATTTCATTATTTTTCGGACTTTTATGCCAAGAATATACTGTATACTATTATACTATGTACAAAAATACCTACAAAAATATTTGGGTGCACCAGTGCACATGCACCCAGTATTTTGAGCCCTGGTAAAAACCCTTAAATGGAAGGAACCATAGTTTTGCTTGTTACAAAAAATAGACATGAGAAAGAAGGCTGATTGTAAGTTTTCTTGCCACAGCTACCCCAGACCTGTCCACCTTCCAGTATGATGAGACGTCAGGGTATTACTACGACCCACAGACTGGGCTCTACTACGATGCCAACACACAGGTTAGTACACAATCCTAGCAGCAACTCTTGCCATCTCCTAAGGACTTAATCTGTTCAGAAGAAACACTGGTATTCCGCAAGTGCCGAAGAGTAACAATCTATGCACAAGAAAACTATCAAGCAAGCAATTGGATGGATTTTCCTGTGTAACAGTTTTCTTGTATATATCTCAATACAGTACTTGGATGTCTAACCTTCATCGACGTAAGTTACAGGTTATGATTCTTTAAATGTGCATTATCTGTACTGATATGTCATTTTTGTTTCCAGTACTTCTACAATTCTCAGACTCAGCAGTACCTATACTGGGATCAGGAGAAACTGTCGTACCTGCCTGCACCAACCGACGCAGCGGAACAACAGGGCGGTGACGGCAAGGACAACAGGGAGGAGAAGAAGAAAAAGAAGGAAAAATCTGCTCAAAAGGTAATTAGATTACAGTCCAGCTGGCCCTTTTGACAATAGCCAACTTTGAGTGTCCATAATGTTGCATGGCATAAGTGACCGGACATTAAAACCTGATGTAGGGACAGGCTTGTTTCTTGTTTTGAAACTTGTAGCTGTTTTCAAAATTGTAGTCTTTTTGATCTGAAGATACACATTTTTTTGTCCTCTCCTAGTCATTTTAGTTTTATGTCAACTTTCCAGTCTAATTCTACCTTTATGGCTTGTAGATTGCTCTTTTCATTATCACTACAAGAAAAAATTCTCCCCCCCTCGAAATATCTGAAATGGATTAGTCCCACTCAGCATGCCATGAACTATCTCACCCATGTTAGACAGAAATGGGGCATATAACACTTGTTATCCAGTTGTTCCCATCGTGAGATGACAGGGAGGGATCGGATTCTTGCTCTCGTGACTACCAAACATTTTAAGTGGGCTGTAAACACAAGAGTCTGTTACAGTAACCGTGTCGGCTTCCCTCACACGCATTCCTAACTTTGTACATCACGACTGGAATCAATCATAGGTGTCAACTTTAATCCTATATGGGTTGATGTAATTGTATGCACCAGCAGAATGAATAGAACTGGCCTTGGGAATAAAATTAGAAGTAGTAAATTCCAAGTACTTGAAAGTCTGTGTGGAATGTAATTTTGTGAATTGACAAAGAAAAATTTGCCTGAAATATTTAGCATTTTTATTGGATAATATATGACAGCATTATCTAGAGAGCTCTTTCTATACACTAAACCAAACCAAATCATCTACTTTGTATTTTCAGTTGTAACATTACAAGTTATTTTTAAAAACATTTGTACATTTGGATGTTTTAAGTAACATATTTTTTAACGTTTTTAAATTGATACTTATATACATGTATTAGAGCATTGTCAAGGGAATGATTTCTTCGTTTAGTAACTGAAACTTAATTGTTGTATTTGCCAGATTGCTAAAGACATGGAGAGGTGGGCCAAGAGTCTGAACTCCATGAAGGAGACAAAGAAGTTTGTCCCCATCGGCATTGGCATTAAACCTTCCCAGAAGTCTGGAGAGGAGAAACTGTCAGCTACTGCTGATGCCGGTTACGCCATTCTAGAAAAGAAGGTAAATCTATGAATTAATTTCAACTAGAAAGGTAACAGTTGCAAAGCAAATACATATGGTCTGCTTTGTTAATTCTTACTCAAACACATTCATATATATGGTCAGACAGGAGTCTAAATCCCTCCTGCTATAAAATTGCAACATGATGTAACCCAACACTAGTTACCATGGTGACAGACAGCTGGTTCAGGTCATTGACCTTATTTGTTTGGAGAAGAGGAAGAAGAAACTGAGCAAAAACAATATGTTTTCCTGGTACAGGTCATTGACCTTGTTTGTTTGGGGAAGAAGAAGAAACAAATCGAAAACAATGTTTTCCATCGATAAACATAATGAGAGGATTAAGATTATTCTCAAACGTACATAGCACATTATATGGTAGATTTGTCCATCAAAGTGTAGTGGACTTGGCAAACTGGGCTTGTTGATCAAATGATTCCTTTTTTCAGGCCTCCCTTGCAGAAAGACAGCAGTCGGTGTTGGAAGCCTTACAGAGAAAAAAGGAAGAAGATGTCAAGGTGAGTGTTACAAGATCTGATCTATTTATTATGATCTGCACTTTTTGACATGTACGTAATGGTATTTTATATCCTTTTACTTCTGGGTAAGGAAGTACTATGTGGCTGAGTTCTGGTTTTGTGTATTTGCCTGGAACACTGTAGGGTGACAGCACATGGGTGAGGGAAGATTGACAGGCAGAATGAAGGAAATCAAAGGTCTCAGAATCTGGGTGGTATTCAGCAGGAATTTGAGGTTGACAATTTTTTAGGTTGGGTGCTCCAGTGCACCTACATGTATTCCCAAATATGAATTTCGAGCCCTGCGTTCTGTTACATGTATATCCTGCCATGTCCCCAGCCCAGCCCTGTGGCCCAGAACTCCCTGGTGGATGCCTACGGCGGCGGCAGTGACAGTGAAGAGGAGGAGGAGGACTCCCAGAAGAGGCAGACGTCCCTGGCACCTGATGAGGAACAGCTCCTGGACTGGAAGAGGATGGCCTGTCTGCTCTGTAAGAGACAGTTCCCCAGCAAGGAGGCTCTGTCCAGACATCAGCAGCTGTCTGATCTACACAAGGTGAGCTGGCTGAATATATGACAAAGTACTTTATTCACAAAAACTTGTTTAAAGAGGGACAAGACGTTCGACTAAACCTGTGATTATATCATGCATGGTATGTGTGAAAAGTGATTTCCTACACTTAGTTCGCTAGTCCATTTTGTTTGAAGCGCTACCAGCCGTTTGAAGTTGCAACTAGCACTTAGCATTGACAAATTGTCCACCACCATTATGACTGGTTCACTGTGCACTAAAGCTAGGTGTTTCTGGATCACTGTGCACTGAAGCTACTTTGTCAGTAACACCTAGCTTCAGTGCATAGTGAACCAGTCATAATTGTAACCAAGTGGTATTTTATACCTGGCTATTACCTAAGTATACAAACTTAGATGCTGGTTTTAAAAATTGCAGGTGTGTTTTAAGACAGACTGATGAGACTAATAATGATATGTTACTTGTCTTGAGGGAACTGTCCAGCTATAGATAAAGCATGTGAAGTAACATGTTTTTCCCTTTGTCCCACAGACTAACCTGGAGATGAGAAGAAGATCAGTGATGAGTGCTGAGGAACTGGAGGCACTAGAGAAAAGAGAAAGAGAGGTGAGCAGTCATCTTACACTACTTATCAGGTTGATAGTTATGCATATGACATCTGCAGTTCTTATAAAGACTCGAAGCATGTCCCAATGTGCTGTAGCACACTACAATACGTACAATATCAAGTGACTTAGTAGTGTTGATATTTAGCCTAAAACAAATACAGTCTTTTTTCACAGGATGGGCCTGTTCTAATAATGTTGTAACTTTTGACATCTGTTTTCCCACTAGATGAAGTACAGAGACAGAGCAGCAGAGAGAAGACAAAAATTTGGCATTCCAGAACCCCCACCTCCCAAGAGGAAAAGGGAGGACTATCTCGGCAAAGTGCAAAGGTGGGATAATCCTAATACTTCTATCTGTAAAACCAGTGATAGTAAAGAGCTGGGGGACATTAGAAATTCCTGCAAAATGGTTAACATTTTAAAAGGGTACTCACCATGTGGTTGTAGATACTTGTAAGGATCCACCTTGAAAGAAACTGAAAACTTAACTGAAACTTTCTGTTAAATTTGAGTGAAAATTGTTCAACAAGTACAGTGCAAAGAATGTGCTGACCACAACTTTTTTCTGGGTACTTTTACATTGTATAATGCTCAACAGAGATAGTTGACAAATTGAATATACTCTAACTGCGTCATTCATTGTTAGTGCACACTTGTGTTAGTGTACATGTTGCTGAACTTGAAGAGTCAGTGATTTCTGCCCCACAGTTCGTACGAGGAGCCCACCAAACACGGGATCGGCAGTGAGAACATCGGGAACAAGATGCTGAAGGCCATGGGCTGGGCGGAAGGCACGGGGCTGGGCAAGAAGAAACAGGGAATCACAGCACCCATCACGGTAAGGCTAGTGGGAGTGCTGGCATGTAGGCAGAACGTACTGTGCCTGCATGAAACCCGTAACGTATTATTCATAGCTCTTTTTTTTTTGGCAGAACGTCTATATAAGGTTGTATTTTTGGTATATAAGGTTAATATCCTGACTGTAGTTGCCAAGTGTTGTGTCCGAAAAGGTATTGTCTACAACAGGCAAAATTCTGATCATCTGATGCAATGTTGACCAAACATCCAGCAAAAACTGTGGAAAATCAGGGTTTTGCGCATACTTATTTCTAGGTGTTTTTAAATTCTTCTTTTTGTGATCTGTACTTAGTCCAGTGGGGCCAGATGTACAATGGAGGTGTTCATTCATTGCTGCAACCACAAATTCAAAGGTACTTCAATGTTTTCAACGTGGCACACACCTGAGTGAATTTACAGTAACACAAATGCTTCCCTTTGCAGGCGGAAAAGCGTACCATGGGTGCAGGTCTGGGCATGAAGGGGAGCTCCTACGGTACAGAGGCAGGCGACACTTACAAGGAGTCTGTCAAGAAAATCATGAGACAAAGATACTACGAGACATCGTAACATAACAGAACTGGCATTGTTCCCATCTTAGGCCTTTCTGTATTGTATGTAGTCATGTTAATAAGTCTTCGGAAATCATTCCTGTGTGTAAAATAAGTTCATAAACAGGGCAAAATGTATGTCGGTTAGGCCACAGTGTCTTTTCACAACTTACAGGCAGTATCATTTGGTATATCAACTACACATGTTTTACAACAATAGCCCTTACAGTACACACTTCACATGGAATAGAATCTGATGCTTGTAATTATTGAAATATTTCCTAACCTTAACTTCTTGAACATTTTAAAGTTGTACATATTAAAAGTTTATTTGTACGAAATGACTCATTTTTCATGGCAACTCTACAGAATATTGTTATCTGTGTAGCCAACAATCGTGTCAGGTAGAATGCATACAACTAATGGTGCATTCTTTGATTAGTTGGTAGTTTTGCTTTCATTAGCATTAACTGTAGCTTACAAGACAAGCTTGTATAGTCCCTAGTTTCTACACGTGTAAAAGAAACAGTACTCTTTTTAGGGTAAAGAATGAAGATTATCGCATTGTGCCATACACTTACATCAGGACATCAGCATCTGTATACAAAAATTAATGTGGTAGAACTACTTTCAAGCCAATGCTTGAACCATAATGGCATTTCCTTATAGTCTGATCTACAGGAATATGTCACCACTGCAGGCATGTCCCAGTCTTGTACATACATCTCTTCAATGTTTTATTAGTTCTTACAGGGGACTCAATCACTGCCAAGATGTTGCACCTTTTGGTTTGTATATTAAAAAGAAAATAGTGCTGAATGATAATTTTTTGTAGTTGTCATCTCTGTTAGCATGTATCCCCGACTTTGGTTGAAAAACTTAAATTATAAAGATGAGTGAGTGTATAAAAAAAAACGATAGACCACTTGAAGCAAGGTTGGTTCATCAACATGCTTGACATGGGCTGCCACTAAGCTGAACCTCATAACTTAGAACTGCCCTTGTAGGCCAAAGGTCACTTTGCATTATCAGTTGACATATTCCTTACCTGGGAAGATATCATCTCAAATCTACATTGAATGATGTTAATGCACACATATTAGTATTTGTAACTGCTTCTTTAAGAACATTTGTGACTTCCTCAGAGACTTGAGACTTTGAAATGAGTACCTACATTGTAACTAGAAATGCCATCTTACGTCGCAAAAGAAGATCGGCTTACCAGACCAGGCAAAAGTACTATGAACTTCGATTGTAACAGCACAAACATGCACAACAGACTTCAACAAAAATTTTCTATCAACCAGGATGCATGGCCGAAGTCCACTCACACATTGTCTGCCCTGGACATTATGTATTAAAAGTAACCTTTGCCCAACACCAAAGTTCCAACTAGGTCATCTTCAGACTTCAACAAAAAGTGCAGGGGAAAGACTACAACATTTTCTATTAGCCAGGATGCATGACCGAAGTCCACTCACACCCTGGACATTATGTATCAAGTAACCTTTGCCCAACACCATAGTTCTCAACTGGGTCGTCTTCAGGAGATTCTTCCATCTTGTAGTACCTGAAGTATGGCTACCGGAGGTCTCACGCTGTTGGCAGTTTTCCACGTCCTGATTCTCCTCCAGGTCCAAGTGCAGGGAGACGTCAGACCCACCATCGCTGCCCTGAACAGGAGGATCGCAGACCTGCAGGCGCTACACGATGAGGACGTCATACCCGGACAGGCGAGGCAGAAGGGGCTGTACTCTAGTATGGTGGGTAGAGTGGAAGTTTTCAATAGAAAATTGTTTGCAACATCCCTTAAAAAACATTTGGTTCCATAACCGACTCAGTGCAAACTTTGACGAAAAGCCCATGCATTGTTACATCACTTAGCGAACGCTTTGCCACAGAGCGCTGCGCATGCAAAAAATACACCACTTTGGGACGTCCTAAACCGTTCCTTCAGAGCTTTTCTTTCTGTATCGTATAACCATTTCAAATGGAGTTTTATTCAATTGATATAACAGCTAGGAAATTTCGTCACCGATTCAGTTCTTTCGTAAGATTGTACTTGCACTGGAGTTGGCTTGTTTGCGGACAGGATAAGTCACAAGAGTATCCTGTGACTTTAAGGATTTGTAGACCCCAAAAGGAAGTGATTTGATTTTGTATAAGATCCAAACCCGTGTTCAGGATTTTTGGAGGGGACAGGATAGCGTAAAACTGGGGATATATGATGTAATTGTTTAAACTAACAAACTAGAAACTAGGTCAGTATGACCTGGCCTTTGCCCAGCCTTGGGGAAGCATACTAGGTCAGGCATTGCGGCATTTTATTGTATCCGGTCATTCAATCAAAATGGTTTATTGATCAAGCATGAACATTGCAGCTGGAGGCTGAATTACGCTCATAGATGTACTTTATTAAAACCCTTGACGGCTACACAGTCTTGGTTTCTGATATTAAAAACATTTAATACACGTTACAGAACCGCATTTACACATCATAGGCGTATGTCTTAATATGTTCAAAATTGCTTATTCATATCTGTATCATATACTTTCCACCTTAACACATCAGATCCGGTTAAACGTGCACGGCCCACCTGAGGTATCCGTCCTCCGAGACATGGGTCTGTACGACAACAACGCGTTCGCCACGCTGTGGATCGTGACGTGTCTGCTGGAGAGTCACACCTACGGCACGGCTCCTGCCCCGGACCCCGGCCGCCTGCAGCTGGCTGTGGACGCCGTCAACACCTTCCACTCAAAAAATCTGCCTGTACGTTCTGTCGCTATTGATGTTTCACCGACATACACAATAGTAGTATACTACAATTACTACTAAGTACTACAGCCACTTTGATGTATCCGAAGCTAGGAATTTCAAGAGTAAACAACAACAACAAAAATAACATTCTTTTTGCACTATACAAATTTTCAGCCTTCCTCAGGGAGACTGACAGACATCTTTAGACACGTCACCCTGCGGCACGTGACTGAGTCCAGTAGCGAGAGATGCCTGGAAGTCTGTAACGGCCCCCGTCTCTATTCAATGATTTTTATTTGTTTTGCATAATTGGTAAACCGCTTCTCAAACACAGGACCTCCGGCTTTACGTCCCATCCAAGAGGACGTCCCTAACTGATTTCTACTTCTATGTGATACTGGTCAAAACCCCTCACTGGGGCATCACGACCAGGGTGCTGGGTGCACGGCTAAGTGCGGCCGGTGGGGTGGTGGTGCTGAAAAGAACAACATGAAAACAACAAAGTGCAAGAAAAAGAACCGAAATTGTGCTTAAACTCTATTTACATGGCCGCACTTGGGGTCTTGATTACCTCTGGGGGCAGGGATGGCCCATGTACTGGGCCAACCCGAGCTTAAAACTATCTACTGTTGTCGCTGATTGTTGATGAACTCTCATTGTCTTCTTGGCAAAAAAAAAAAAACACCATGGTCTTGATCCTTGCACGTGACAGGGCCAGTCTGCCATGGACTTCTGGCCGCAGGTGTATAACGAGTCGGGAGGTGTGTGGGTGCAGTCACCTGAGAACCTGCTGCAGGTGATGCAGCTGGGGGAGAACGACTTCCCGTGGAACACTATCAAGAAAGTCCTGCTGGGCCTCGGCCTAGACAAGCTGTGGAAGGACGTGGCGGACATGCACGAAGTGCTGTAAGTTAAAAAAAGATATCGATACTCCCACACTTTCTCGCTGTAAACCATGCATAAAACCTTAAGTTTGTATTATTCACTACAGCAAGTGGCATCGATACGAATAACTTGGATAATTACTACGAGTAGTAGTAGTAGTACATGTAGTAGTTCATATAGTAGCAGGGCATGCAGTAGTAGTAGTAGTAGTAGCAGTAGTAGTAGTAGCAGCAGTAGTAGTAGTAGCAGTAGCAGTAGTAGTAGTATAGTAGTGGTAGTAGTAGTAGTAGTAGCAGCTGTAGTAGTATTATAGTACTAGTAGTAGTAGTAGCAGTAGTAGTAGCAGTAGTAGTAGCAGCAGCAGTAATAGTAGACGTAAACGTAGCTTGTGTTCAGTTTGACACGTATACATCTCTTGTCCCTTCATTTTCAGAAAAGACACGGAGCACGCCTACCGCATTCCCCCCGACTTCGACGACTCTTTCCTGAACCTTGGTCTGGGCGCCCAGCTGCTCCAACTGAAGGACAGTTTCCCGCTCGCCTACCGGTCCTGGGCGTCCAACAACACGGACCTCCAGTCCCTTCAGAACCACCTCAAGTCGTACGCCTACCGGCCGCTGTCCAGGGACAACAACGCCGACACGATCGACCCCAGAACGTACTACTACATGCGGCCGTTCTTGGAAAAGGCGGCGAGGGAAGGGGACGAGATCGCCTTGGTAACTACATGGGTGAGTCGGGGTTCCTTCAGGGTTTCACCAAAACAAAATCACTTTTACCTATTGGAACCAAAGAATTGTTGAAATCCCATAAATTTCAGAGGGAAATTGATTTCACAGAAAGGTATTTAATAACTGATCAATAATGTCAAACGTAGAGTAGATAATCACATGGAATAGTTATTGAACCAAAGAAGGGCCATGGCTACCGCTATTGCCTTTTCATTGCGTGCATTCGATGCCATTTTACCTCTACGCTGCTGTTGACAAATCTTTATTTGTGGGGTCATGTGGCGCAATGGCAGCGTGCACGACTCGGAATCAAGAGGTCCAGGGTTCGAGTCCTCACATGCCACCGATCTTGTGCCCTTGGGAAAGGCACTTCATACGACTTTCCCACTAGACTCAAGTGAAAATGGGTACTGTCTATCCTGTATTCGTTTCTATATGCGGGACACAACACCAGCAACAGCTGCCTCTGTTCCACGTGTATTGCACTGTTGCAATTCAATAAATCAAATGAAATCCCTATTGGTTGTTTGACTTCTAGCTGCAGAATCTTGCTGAGTTGCGCGTGATGGTTGAGAAGGGCGTGCTGATGCCGTATAACCTGAACAACGTGGACGTGACCGTGGCCGCCAACACGCTGGCCGGCATCACGGAGGCCCTGCTGGCGGGACTGGTGAACCAAGAGAAGTGGTTTGACCACGACGTGCAGGTACACAAACACACACACCCTCAGTACACAGTTTATAAAGATTAGAAAAATCAAGGCCATAGCATGTCCAGGAGAAAACATACAAAAACCGGAAGTACAGTTGCAGTACCAAGTTCAGCCACCAGCGGGCTTAAATTTGACCTTGGCCTTTGTCTTCCTAAGACGTATCCACATACCAAATACCATCACATGAGTTATGATGACCACAAATATGCGGAAACACTAAACCGAGAATCTACTCCCACATAGAGAATCTACCTGAACACGACCGCCATGATTTCCTGGGCCGTGACGTCAGAGGCCATCTTCACCCGCCCTGACCTGGTGATGACGTACTACCCATCTCTCTACAACTTCCTGTGGTACTCCTCCCGAACTCTCTTCCTCCTGCAGTCCAACCAGGACAGGCTGCAACACTACCCCGACTGTGTCAGGGATGTGCAGCAGATTCTTACCACGACATTCAGGTGAGTAGGAAACTTTCCAGTATAGTAACCAGCTTGTAGGGTCAGTAGTAGTAGTAGACCAACCAGGACAGGCTGCAACACTACCCCGACTGTGTCAGGGACGGGCAGCAGATTCTTACCACGACATTCAGGTGAGTAGGACCTTTCACAAAGTACAATTCTCAACAACCCAAACTTTCCAGTAACATGTCTGTAGGGTTAGAAGTAGTAGTAGGACAGGACAGGCTGCAACACTAACCCGACTTTGTCAGGGATGTGCAGCAGATTCTTACTACAGTACTACATTCAGGTGATGATGTTAATGTGTTGGACTTGCAATACTGGCAATGCTGGTACATTGGCAGTTCGAGGAATATTGGGTTTACTGATGGTAGTAAATGCCACTAAATTCGGGTAATGTTGATTTTGTAAAAAGTCGCAGTGAATGAAATTAACGGACTTCTTTGCACTTTTGTGTACGACTACAGTAACTGTAATTCTGGAACTGGTTACAAAGTAAAAATCTCCCGACTGTACTGGCATTTATTACCATTGGTAAATCCAACTCTTGGTGCAGTGAATACTATGATCTTGTATTTAGATGTGTGATAATGACGTTAAGTCATATGTTATTTTGTGTTACCACAGAGACCACGTTACACCTAAACTGTTGGCGCGTGCGCAGACGGACCGCGGACAAGAGACGTTTTTTGACGACTTTCTGGGGGACGGAGACAAGGACATCTTTGGAAGACCGAAGGTCATACATACAAAGAAACAAACAATCTTAATTGACACAACAAAAGTATAATATGCCTGTGATATGTCAGTGATATTTTAGACCTCTGCTTTTCACTATTTGAATGCTTCTCGCTCTTGTCTGCTATGTCATTTTGTACGTTGAATATGCCAAGTTGGAAATCTAAACCATTGTAAATATTTTACATCATAACTTTATTAGAAAGATCCTTTTCTATTTGTTATACTAAAATACATTTTAGAATACAAATTGTACTTGAACGGACTTGCTTAACTTTACATTTACCTTTTTAGATCCATGGAGAAGACCGTATCTTCAGCACAGCACAGGTAGTGAATACGCTACTGGCAACCTGGACAACGTTCAACAGGACCTCTAAGAAGTTGGTGTGGATAGAAGGTATGTATCTTAAAGTTTGTATGTAGAAGGTATCGGAAAACTAGAAAGGTAACATTTGGAAAGCAAAATGCATAATGTTTACAAAGAATTATGTTAACAAAGCATGTTATTATATTAGGTAATATTGCAAAGCAAATTCATAATGTTTACCTTTGCATACGGTCTTCTCTGTTAATTCTTACTCAAACACATTCATATGATCAGACAGGAGTCTAAATCCCTGCTGCTATAAAATTGCAACATGATGTAACCCACGCCAACATATCATACGTTGCGAGTGACAGCAACTTAAGAAATCAGTATAATAAGATGTAAGGCCGACCTTATTGTCCTAGAAACCCCCGCAGACGTGAAGACCCTGGTGTCTGAGGCCGTGTCTTGGCTGGAGAAGAACACCCTGAGCGGCAGGTACAAGCCGTACAACGCCTTCTTCTCCGGATCCACCAAGGGGCTCTCTGTGAGTCTGCATTCTCTACACTAGCCTGGGTGCCAGCCCCTTTCACGAGTGAATGCCATCCTTTGTTTTCTTACATTTACCTGCAATTAATTTTTTTGTGGGGGAAAACTTGCAATAATTTGCCCTAATCAGAAAACCATCGCTTAGTTAGACTTGTCCTTGGTGCTGAATGCTTGTTTCGCTTTGTTCCAGTCGGTGCCTTTCCTGTACCCGGCTAACTTCGTGCAGTACCTGAACGGTTCGGCTGTGCCGCCTGCTGCCAACGTGTCGTTTGACGTCATAGCGGGAGTCACTGGCGTCATCGGTACGTCACTCTAAATCTCGTCATCAAATGTGGGGGGGGGGGCACTAAGTGATTCACGTTAAACAAGTCAAAGTATGGCCATTTTCCAAGCCATCGATCACTATATCCCTGTGTTTTAGAGTAGATTTAGCTTTGATAGTTGAGCTATTTGTTCTATAACTTCGAGCAGCACGTCGGCAGAACGTACTGTGCCTGCGCAAAACCCTTGCAACGTTGCATCAGAATTCTTGCAGAATATGTCTTTTTCCGACTCAACATTTGAAAACTACAGACGGAGTGGCAACCATATATGCGCGAATACGACGTTCTGCCAAAGTGCTACGGATCTTGTGCAGGTGCAGTACAGTCTTTTGCCAACCTGATGAAATTATTCACAAATCAAATGTATTTTCTCTATTTACAGATCCTGATGAGTACCAAAAGATGGTTGAGCAGCCCCATTTCGGATACGCCACGCCTACAAAGTTTGACGGGTTCAACGGTCCGGAAAACTTCTTCCCCTTCTGGTCCTCCGAACCGTACACATACGCTACTGTCATGCTGGCACTGGCGCAGTACGACAATATAGCATGATTTGTGGAATAGTTCAATGTTTCACGTAGTCACCACAAAATTAAACACATGTATGATGATGTTACTAATAGTGAGGAAGTATGTAATATAAAGATAATGTGTAATTGTTTTCTCCTGAAAGCAGCTGCTTTTATGTTCAGAATATCTGTAGAGTACACAGCATTATGTGTTATATTTTTTCTGATTCACTGCAAATCAAAGCAACCATAGGTATTAGAGAATTAAATCCAAGCTTTCGTACTCCAAATCTTATGTTTATTGCCAAAAGCAATATGATCTCAATTTTCCAACTAATCTTGAATCTTGTCAGTGAAGTACATTTCTGTTTATTACAAATCTGTAGTGAAGAAGTACAACTTACTGTAATACATGGCTTATATTCCTGTGCAGCACAACAACACCTGTTAGTGCAAAAATAAATCTTCTGTAAGTACTGAAACACAATCTTATCATTTCTTAATATTACACTTCATGGTGTAATAAAGGTGGTCAATTGCAACACAATTCGATATTGACTATATCATATATACATACAGTCATGTACAATATAATACACTGCTTAACTTCAATCTCAAATATCTCTCAATTGTGAAAAGTGATCATTTATAATAATGTGGCTCTCAAAATTATCAGTGGCTTTTCTTGCATATAATATTCATCACCAACCAGTGCCATCTAATGTTGAGAAAGAACTCAAAATTCCATCCAAAACAAGCAAGTGTACGTTCTAGTATTGTAGTGAGTACTATCATCAACAAATTAACCAACTTGAAAATGATTTCTGAAGCAAATAGTACTAGTACTGCAGGTTAGTTAATGGGTGAGGCCCCATAGCTCCACTGTGTGTTGCTGAATGACTTTACGAAGAGAGACCCCATGGCACTGCTGTAGGCTGCTGAGTGAGATTACAATGAGAGACCCCATAGGTAGATGAGTGAGGCTACAGTGAGACACCACATAACTCCAGTGTAGGCTGCTTAGTGAGGTTACAGGTAGAGACCCCATAGCTCTGGTGTAGGCTGCTGAGTGAGGCTACAGTGAGAGACCCCTTAGCTCCAGTGTAGGCTGCTGAGTTACAGTGAGTGGCCCCATAGCTCCGGTGTTGCTACTGAGTTAAAGGAGTACTAACCTCCAGAAGGAAGTGCTATTTTCCGATACATCATGCTGCAATGAATACATAACTAGCCGACTTTTTACATAATTTCGCTTGTACGGCTTGCGCGGCGCATGTTTGTAAAGTGATATTAATATGATTTTCCCCCATGCTGAACCACAATTGATACATCCGGGAACTCTGGCTTACGCAAAACTCATACACTTCAAGTCAATATAAACATTTTTTGGCGAAAATGGTAGGAGACAAGCACACTAACAAGCTGATTATTGAGAAATTACTTGCTTTACTTTGCTTGACCTGTGGCTTGGATATTATAATGTCAGGATGTCGAATACAGTGAGCGCCAGTTTCACGCTGCGTGTTTTGATTTTCTCAACTTATTTGCATGTAAGTATTACTTGAACAGATAATTAGATTACGCCACTTATGGAAAAGATAACTAGATTACGCCGTTTTTTTCATCGTCAATATTTGTGGCATAAATGAGGGGCGATAAGGACACCAAGAAGGGCAATGGTTGGTAAGATACCAAAGAACACAAAACGGTACGAATTTTTCTTATCGCCCCCGAAATGAGGTCTGTAACGCAACTTTTTGTTTAAAACATAGACACCAATGGGGTAGCGTGGTGTATTCTGGGATAGTTTTGAGGGTATTTGGAGAGTTTGTCTTGGATTCGATGCGTTTTAAGACTTGCGCGCAAAACGGGCATTTAATTGTATACTGTAAAATAATATGCATTTTTCACTTCCAAAAATAAATGCCTGTCGAAATATAGCACCTCCTTCTGGAGGTTAGTACTCCTTTAAAGGGAGAGACCCCATAGCTCCGGTGTAGTCAGCTGAGTGAGGCTACAGTGAGAGACCCCATAGCTCCACTGTAGGCAGCTGAGTGAAACTACAGTGAGACAATCTCCAAGCAGATCATAATTCATATGGTGGCAAGGCAGTGTCCATTATCTACATAGGTGGCTTGATGATACAAACTCCTCTGGCTAATGGATACTGTCTTGCTGCCGAAAGGGATCTGCTTGGAGGCTACAGTGAGAGACCCCTGAGCTCCGGTATAGGGACCTGTAGCTGGTGTCGCTCTCGTTCTTTCTCCCGTCTCTCTGCCCTGGCCGCTTTCCTGGCTTTGTACCTCTGCTCTGTGCGGAAGATGACTCTCCCTGTCATCAGCTCTCTGGGATGTAGGAAATAGTACATGTGAGTTGTACGTTCGATTCAGAAATCTCTCCTTTGTGTACCAGTATCTATTATGTACAGGATTTTTGCTCATCACTGTGACATAAGAATAAAGTCTGCCATGCTGAATGGTTAAGGCTGGACGTTGCCAGTTTGGTTTTAACTTTATGTATGTACGTAGAATACAGTCAAACAGTTGAAAACAGTTGCAGTCAGATGCAAACACATTACAGTTACACAGTCACAAATTTACAAGTTCAGTTCTTAGCATATACTCACTGGTAGTCTATCCTGCCGTTCTTGTCAGTATCAAGCTGGGTGATCATCTCATCCAACTGGTCCTACACAAATGGAAGGAGGAAGTAAAATTACATGTGTGACATATCAGACAGTTCAACCATGCTTTTGTCTTCAGAACTGACATGCCATAACACAACATCTAACAACAATCTAACGTAAACTGTATTTAGACTTGGACTGCTCACGTAGCTTGTCAAATGCTTCTATTAGAAAATGATTATGAAAATGTGCAGATTTCTTCATCTAGAATATATTTTTGTTTTGCTGCCCTGAAATTGCATGTTATAGCTTTAAGAGCACCCCTACCTCATCCACCACCAGCCCCAGCTCCTTGAGGCCGGCCTTGAACTCCTCGGCTGAGATGTCTCCGCTCTGGTCCTTGTCAAACTGTCGGAACATGTCAATCATCCGCAGCCGGTTCTCCTGCACAAATGTGTCCAGGATGGACATGGCACTGGGAGGCTGTGGGGGGGAGAGAACATGTCAATCATCCGCAGCCGGTTCTCCTGCACAAACGTGTCCAGGATGGACATGGCACTGGGCGGCTGGAGGGGGGACATTACGCACAAGATCAACTCATTTTCATGTTTACATTCGCAGAAGGTATTGTTTTTGCTGTTTCTTCTTCTGTTATTACTACTAAGGAACTGGTAGTATAAACCTATTAATTACTAAATAGCACCAAGCCTACTAGTAGTAGTAGTGGTACTACGGTATTCTGTTCCAACACATAAGGTCAATGACCTTGACCAGACGTCTGTCACTATGGTAACTAGTGTAGCAGAAACCCTGTTGTGTTGGGTTACATTATTTTGCATGTTGCAATTTGATAGCACGTTACATTTTAGTCTTAGTTTTACTTAAAATATCTAAAACAAAGAGGCTGTTTCACATGGATAAAACTTACAGGCACATATTTGATCTTCTCGTACCCCCCGAGTCCCCCATGTATAATCTGGATGCCTCTGATGTCCTCCAGTTCTCTGATGGACTTGTACACCTCCTTAGTCACTGTGATGTCCTGGGGAAAGAAAGAACACTTAAAAGCAACAGTGGTCTCCACAAAAGTTAATTTTTCAATAGATAAATACTACAAGTAAGTTAGTGCCCTGTCCCCTGTATAATGGTATGGACCAAAAAGTGGTCGGTTATTCTAATTATCGACCACTTTTGAGGTTACGGCCTGATAACCAATGGCAAATGGAGCTTCTGTTTGGTCGACACCCTCTGGCTATATGTAGTTGATATGTACTAACTTTAGTTAGTAGATGCCATAGTTTGTACCCTGTACAACTGTTGTGCAATAAAGTTATTATTATGGTAATTTAGCATAACACCTAAGAAAACTAACCAAATTATGTGTTAATATTACAGTCATGCGCTAAGTGAAAAACATCTCGTTTGTGTAAAATCTTAGCCAATAGATACTAATCCCTACCTGTAGTCCCAGGACCTTCAGGGTCGTGTTCTTCTTCTCCAGAACCTTCAGCAAGGCCTTCACTCCCTCATCACCGATGGCATTGGTGCCCAACTAGACACAAAGGTATATCAACTAAAGCCTCTAATAGCTTCACAGAAGATACTACAGCTACTACTGCTACTACTACTACTACTAACTACTACTACTACTACTACTACTACTACTACTACTACTACTACTACTACTACTACTGCTGCTGCTGCTGCTGCTGTTGCTACTACAACTACTACTACTAACTACAGTGACTACTACTACTACTACTACAGTGACTACTACTACTACAGTACTACTACAACTACTACAGTAACTACTACTACTACTACAGTAACTACTACTACTACTGTCAGTCAGCCAGTCTCACAAAACTATGACTTTGCTGTGCAAAACAAAACAAAACAGGGTGGTTCGTGCAAAAAATGTTATGTCCAAAGTCCAAGTTTAAATTGGCAAAGATATCATGGTCATAAATATCAGATTTTTTTGCTGCCAGAGACTTTTTCTTCTACACAAAAAGTAGCATTTTGGGATGATTGTTTATCTGTTTGGACCATGACTAACCATGAGAGTTTCCAGCCCTTCGTTCTTGGCCAGCCCCAGGCTGAGTTTCTTGGCTCCCTCCACAGTGATCCTGTTGTTACTGTAGCAGACAGACAGACAATCATCTTACTGTAGTAAGATCAGGGATTAGCTTTCATGTACAAGTCACTGAAGTTAAACATTTTACTATAAGCTGTTACTAGATAAAATTTCTCAGCTCATATTCTCAACATTTATTTTCATTGATTTACAATGTAACAGAAATTGAAGATATCACCTAACAATACTTGGAAACTTCAATATTAGTGTTTTGGTGTCATGAATAAAGATCATATGAATATTATACAATTCCAAGTAGCTCATGCAGTACAACACAGAACAAGAATGTTTCAGAACTAAGCAAGATAATAACCATGATCAGGATACTTTGTTAGGTTCCTTTATGTCATGCCAGAACTCCCATTACCTGAGGTCCAGCATCCTGAGTGTCTTGTTGAACCTGAGTGCCTTCCCAAACGCAGTGGCTCCCAAATCACCCAGGCCATTCCACGACAGGTCCAGAACTTCTAGACTCTGGTTCACCTGGATAAAATACAAGATAAGTTTATTGCAAATTCCTACCAGAAGACTAATTGCAAATAGCAAGGATAAAAGAACATTGAAGCACAGTACAAAATAACTACAAAATCTACATAATAAAAGGTAATTGTCTAAAACTATTATCTATGTCTAAAACTAAATCTGAATGGTTTGACTTCAACATGTAACACAGGTTTTGTGTAAAATGTGAAGGGCAAGCTTATTAAAAACTTTTCCCAACATCCATTGTAATGCATAAAAGAAGTGTATTATCATAATATCTTAAGTCTGAGACTAAAACACTCCCAAACTTTAAGAATGATGCTTGTATGCTGACCTTAATCCCCATGGCGATGGCCACACCTCCCTTCAATCTCAGATGGTTCCAGCTCAGGTTCAGACAGTTCAAGCCTCCGTTGGCACCCTGAAATTCAAGAGGTCAACACATTATATCTGTTGTTGCATTAAGTGCTATGAGACAGAAAAATCTTGTAGAGTTCAAGAGTAACATGATAACATGATAAAACACACAGAAACAGAGAGGCTATGGTTTCTTGTTTTTACAAGCAGATCTTATAATGGTTTCCCTTTTTTGTGAGTTTATATCTATTTATAAGAGGTTGTTACAATGGTTTCCTGTTTTATTAAGCAGATCTTACAATGCCAGCTCCAATAAATTATAAAAGACACAGAAACAGAGAGGCTATGGTTTCCTGTCTTTTACAAGCAGTACTTATAAAACCTGTTTTTTTACAAGCAGCTCTTACAATGCCAGCTCCCAGGAAAATGCCTCCTAGCTCTCCAAACTTGTTCTGACTGAGGTCCAGGGTTGTCATGGTCAGGTTGGACTTCAGGGCTTCTGCAAAGGTCTTGGCTTCGTGGTCACCTAACTGGTTAGCTACGGGAGAAAAGGTAAATGCATATTCAGTTTCTCAGGGGAATAATGTATATAAAAAACAAGAAATTTGTGTTTCTGTAAAGATTCAAGTGGAATACCAGAAGCAATAGAACAGATTGAAACTCACAAAAAGAGCATTCCTTTTTACTGCAATTTTTTACTAATTCTTACCTCTCAATATTAGTGTCTTCAAGTCAGAATTGGTCTCTAACATGCTGGCAATGGCACTTCCACCATGGCCCAGAAAGTTCTCAGATAGATTCTGAAACAAAAACATATTTAGTTAGCTAATTGGGGTGAGCCAGCTTTCATGACTCTCAAACATCATAGTTAATGCAATAAAAAATATTTTAAAAGAAACCAATATGGGGGCCGACATCGTCTACCAGATATGTCGTATAGCAGTGTTGACGTCACACTTCAAAGAAGCCACGTGACAAGCTTCACTGGGTCAGTCTACTGAAGAAGACCAGAGTGACTGGTCAAAAGCTCTAGGTGAGAGAACTTTATACTGTGTTGGATCAAAACTTTAAACATGATTTTAAAAGATACTATTTTCCCCACCCACCATTTCAGCTATGTATGAGCTGTCCTTGACCGCCCCAGCGATGGCCACGGCCCCCTCCACACCCAGATGGTTATCCACCAGGTCCAGGTGCCTCACACAGACATTTTTCTGTGGGGGAACAGGCAATGATTGAATATCAAAGTTGGTTCAGTATTAAAGTTGCCATAGGGGCTTTTAGGGTCTTGTACAAACAAGATGCACGTTATATAATTAAGCCTGTTCAAATGAAACGTATGTACAGTACACTTTACGGTAACATTGTAGTAACTGTACTTTGAATAATCAACAAACATCATACACATCATACTTGTCTGATCCTAACCTTTTCCATCATGACCTCAACAAAAAGCAGCCAGCCGGCCAATTTGAGGTAATCTCCAAGCAAATCGTACTGTGGCAAGACAGTATCCATTGGTCAGAGCTTTAACTATTACAACATGTAGCCACCCTGTAACCATTTGGAACCTTAGCTGAGGCTAATGGTGACAGCTCTGACAAATGGATACTGTCTTGCTACCATAGGATTTGCTTGGAGACTAGATTTGGGCATTTCATGAACAAAGTCTCTAACAAACAAGCAAACCCACCCTGAGTGCAGCGGCCAGTGGTCTCCAGCCCCTCTCCCCCAGGTAGTGATGCCTCATCACCAGGTGCTCATCTCCCAGGTGCTTCATCAGGTACGAAGCTGGGACAACACCTGCAACAGTCAAGACCATGCATGTTCACAAAAGCTGCCATTTTCTAACACAATTCTTGCCCATGCATATCTAAATTGTGTAATCCTAGGCAGTGCTGTGCTAGAGATCTCTCAAACGCACCTGAAACTTCATTTTAAGATATTCAACTCAAACATGTCACACCTGGGATTGAACCAGAATGAGAAATCACTTCTGAACCTTGAATTTGTCTATTTTGTCTTCTAAAATACCAGACAAAAACAAAACCGCATCAGGGAAGAAAGAAAGCATCATATTACATGTAGTGAGGCAGGATTTCAGTACCAAGGACAGGGACACTTACCATCATTTTTACACTGCTCTTTATACAGGTGCATTCCTGTTGGGTCGTATGGCTTCTCAGGAGCTGAAAGATACAAAAGATCATTTGGTTAAGGTCAAAGATGATGGAGTGGGCAAAATTTTTGGTCTGTCATTAGCAGTAAAATTCAGTCAAATGACGGAAAGCTAGAACACTGCAGATATAAAATGTAACCTGGCAGATAAATGAGAATGGAGGTTACTCACTTTTGAAAATAGTTTCATCAGGTTGGTAAAGTATAGGATACAGGAGTTTTCTTTTACGCAACCAAGATTGTCTCACCTAAGTGCTTATGTTTTGGTGTCTATCAGACACCTTCCTCAGAGCTTCTGACTGGAGTTCTACATATAGCGGCGAGAAGCAGAACTCCAGTCAGAAGCTCTAAAGATGATGTCTGATAGACACCAAAATGTCAGCAAGGTTAGTCTATCTTGGTTGTGTAAAAGAAAACTCCTGTGTCCTGGAGGTTACAAGACGTTCTGCTGAAGTGCTATGCACAATACATTACTATATGTCATATATGTAACCTGGCAGATAAATGAGAATGTAGGTTACTCACGTGGGGCAAAGTCTTCCTCCAAGTCAGTGTCGAAGTCTTCGTCGGAGGCTGTGATGTCTAAGATGTCGGAGAAGGTGTGGTGAGTGTGTGAGGTGGAGGGACGGCGGGGGGAGGGGCTCCTCCTCTTCCTGGGTACCACCCAGTCCGTGTCACTCCCATCATCCTGCACAGCAGAAATCTCTGCATCTGGAAGGATGATGATCAACTTGTTGTCAGAGACAAGAATTTCTATACTATGGCTTCCAATACATGTACTAGGTTTTTTTTTATAACATATCAAGTGGAATGTACTGCTTTCTCAGCTTGGCACTCAGCACCTATATGAAAGTTGATAGGTGAACACACTCTGCTACCAGCTTACTAGCCCCAGCTGAAGTGTGAGCACAACCCTGCAAAGTTGCCCTGCAGCTTTACAAAAAGGGATGGGCACTACCCATACATATGTACACTGGAATGTGTGGGAAGGATTTGATCTTATGTGGGCTTTAGTACATGTGCTTCTTTTCTACCTAAAAGACTTTGGATTCTTCAGAGGCAAATAAAATGAATCTTTTTGTCATTAAGAATCTGTAAGGACCTTACAATGATTCGTAATCAATTGAACACTGCTTCCAAATATCTAAAATGCATCTTTTTTGCTGCCCCCTACCTTCTTGTTTATCCTCTTCCTTCTCTTCCTTCTCTCCTTCCTTCTCCTCCTCAGGTGTTCTGACAGACAGTCTGCTGCCCCGCCCTGATGACCTTGCCGAGCTTGATCTCCGCAGGATGCCCCTGGGTGAGGACCCGTGGCTGTGGGTGGGGCTTGGCACCCTGGGGGATGACCTCTTCTTTGACCTCTTACCCTTTAACCTTTGACCTTTCCTTGTTGTCCCATCTTCAGACTTCTTAGCACTACTAGTAGTACTCCTACTAGCAGTAGTTTCTTTACTTGGTGAGGTGAAGTGATCCCATGCTGTGGTCTGCCACCTTTGACCTTTGTTCCAGTACTGGACCTGACTTTTGACCCCTGTACTTGGCCTTGACCTTGAGGTTCCAGGTGAGGTCGGTGAGGTCGCTAGTCGTGAACTTGAGGGGCCGGGAGAGGTCGGTGTCCTTTCCTGTCGAGGTTTGAGGTGCGAGGCTGACTTTATCCTGTTGGCCACGCCGACTGCAGCGATGGCTTTGTTACTGTCTCTCTCCTGGGATAGTCAGAAAAACATAGGAGAAAAACAACAGCAAATCAACAAAAGTCAATGTTGATTTTCAGACTTATGAAAGAACAACTGCTTCCGTAATTAAGTCAAAGCTATCCTGTCAGCATGATGATGATGATGATGACCCTTCCAAATTGAATACATGTAATTGTCCAAGGCATGCACATAGTAGTTAACATTAGTATACTAATGTATATACAGTTTTGATAAGATATTGCTGTAATTTTGTTACTTCCACCTTATTCGTGACCTGTACTTAGCTTGTAAGAGCTTCAAACATACAATAAAGGTATTTCATTCATTCATTTATTATACTTAAGGAAGTTCCAGAGTATTGTATAGTTCAGACTTGACGTACAAAAGGAGCAAACAAAACAAACCAGGTTTGAAGAAGATAGCAATAAAAACACATTTTATTTTCTATTTATTGGTTTAGCTGTGAAAGACAAGCATCCAACACTGCTGAACTTAATTTTCCAAATTCATGTAAAGACCCTTTACTGTCTAAATAGGTCATTATGTAGATAATTAACAAAGAGAAATGAGTAAGGAATGCCTCTCTTATCTGTGCCACATACTTTTAACCTTTTTATCAGTGTCTGTGATAAGTGGCAGGGTGTATTTGCCTTAAACATTGTAAATCACAACTATATTCGTTAAGGTACAAGTTCAAGTTTACAAATGGGAATGGGATGGGAAAAATTCACTTCAATGCCATGCAGGGGAACTATGTTCAACAATGTATTGTTGACCTTTAGGTCCACAGCCTGGTGCAACATGTTTTTAGTATCTGGGGTCGACTTGTGGACAAAGGGCTGGGCAAATTTGATCAGCAAACAATACGATCCCTATAACATACCGGCTCCTAATTGCCCACATAAATTTTCCTGGTAGCCCTGGTTGTAAAATGAATGATCTGAAGTCCTCTACGTTTTATCTCCAAATGTGCGCGTCTGCAGACTACTTTTTGGCAGTAATCGGTAATTATTAACAGTGATGTATTATAATTAGAGCCGTTTGTAATTGAAACCGTGTTCTTTGTTGCCTGGTAGTGTCGTTTTGTTACCGTCGCTCCTTTGAACAATTACCACTACAAAACAAGTTTAATTGCCCGCAAATATTCCGACAATGAATTTTGTAGTGTTTGTTCTGGTCAACAAATTGTTGCGTGTTCTTTTTACCCCGTTTTTTTTTTACGAACAACGTTTCTCAGACTGTAAAGTACAGGAATCTACGTCGTTTCTATAACGCATGAATGTTTGGCAGACAAAATCCATACACAAGCAGACAGAAAAAGGCAGAGACAACAAACCTTTGCCACACAGACGCACTTCAGAAGTGACCAGGTGAAGTGTTCTACTTATATTTGTAAATGTCCAATTTCTAAACGAACCTGTCGCCTTACTATTTACCTGCCGCAAGTGGATCTTTACTATACTAGGACCGCGATTCATGAGAAAATCTCTTCACACAAGACTCTGTTTTTCCAGGCAACATTATCGAGTTAACACCTGGGTGACAAAAAGCGCAGTTTCTGTGGCCGATAGACGGTAGTCTTAACTTGTCTTTGCTGCCTAGATACGGAATGCAGGCCTTCGTGCAGGGATTTCCATTAGGAAACTTACACCTATTGTTCGTTTAAGGGTGACTTAAGCTGACCCCAAACTTTTTTACGAGCGATGTGACCTATTTGTTTGAGGGTAGGAAACGCAGGATTACGGCTCACAGAAGGTAACGAGGCCGTAATGCTCGTTATCTGTCGCTAATGAGTGGAAAATGACCCTACCTTAGTCTCTACCAGGTCTTTCTATGGGAATACGGATAGTAGAACTCGGCAAAAAAAAAGAGAGAGTAACATTAAATTTGGCCAAGGGAGTCCGGCCGCGGGGAGATAGTTTCTTTCCCTCCGAAGGCCAGTCAAACCTACAAGGCGGCCAAACTCCCCTGGCAAATATTCTCAAACATATAGCCAGCGTAGTTAGTCTGGTAGAGACTAGACCCTACCTGTCTGTGCGAAAGGGCGCTGCTAGTTCGGGAACTGGTCGCAGTCCTCGGTCGCAGTCGTCCCAGGATCGTGTCGGCAGACGTGGGGTAGTCGTAAGGCTCGTAACTGGTCATGGTAAAACCCGGAAAAAACTACTGCAACTTTTTGTACGATTCCTTCCTCAAGAATGTCGTTGTCTGTCGCATCCCATCGTGCGACTCTACCCCGACTGCATACAGACGATCTTGCTGTCCGAATCCTTCGCTCACGACACTTCCGGGGTGACCGGTACGCGTACGCGGCCTACCTGTGCAAGCGTATCTATGACACCTGCTACTCACGTCACTTCAACGGAAGACTCTAAAATGGAAAATCCTGGCCTTTGTGTCCTACAAAAAGTCTTGAGTTTATAGAGTTTCAAGACACAGCTGTGTATCCTCACTGCCCCACAGTTGCTACCGTCGCCAGGGCCGCCCCGGTTTATTGAAAAGTTGATTGTGTGGAGCCTGCGCACTGGGCGACAACTACCTGTTGATTCTCTCTGTTACAAGTTATTATACGGCTTGAAAAGGTCCTCACGACAGACCCAACCATTCCGTCTAACCACGGGGGTGTGTGCACTCAAAAACCGTTTTTAATTGCAACTCTAGGGTTTAGAATACAATCTGCCTTTGTTTAACTACGTCCCAAATTGCCGTACCATATCCACAATGTTTTTGATAAAAATCGTAGTATTGGCATCAGAATATCCTCATATAAAATGGTACATCCCACATTTCTTTGCTCAGCCCCTTGCATAGGTATAACGGAATGTACAGACGATACGAAAGGCAATACGTAAACATGTATACCTTTATCTGTATCGTTTTTCTGATACAGATATAATGTAGGTTAGAAGGAAACACGAACTGTAGAGCAAACAGATGGTATTTACACAGAGGGGGTACGTAATAGCCTCCGTAGCAGGCTTATAGAACTGGGGGTTTGGTGGTCTTCGGCTGTTTTCTGATTAGCCCAGTTCTAACAAAGCGGGGGTAATTCAACCGGGCCGGCTATGTTGTCTATATGCAATCAGAAAATAGCACATGAAAGCTCCCAAAGACCCTGAAGACCCCCAGTTTTTGACATTCTATGGAGGCTAGTACGTAACAGGTTACAGGGCTATGGTCTGTTGCATTTCACAAGGCAGAGCACGTTGTTATGTGCAGTTACATAAAATACCTATAAAGTTTCTTTCAGCAAACGTTTCAGTCAACACCACTGTATGCTCAGTGGTTTCACGACAGAGTTGTGTTCACGTCTGTATTGTGAATAGTTTTGTATTGCGCAGGCAAATGCTAACTATCCTGGCAAATTATTCTCCCTTTAGCCAACGTAGTTAGTCTGGTAGAGACTATATCATAAGCAAACGACGTATTACCATTGTGTGAAACAAAATGCGAATGAAAGTGTCGTAGGGCGAATCTGGAATAACTACCTTAGGGAGACAACAGAGAAAAGAGAACGCCAATGAAATGTGTTTTCTGCCTCAGTGCTTTGATTTAACTTTAAGTTGGTTCGATGTGATTTTACACCACTTCTTTATGATATATGTTAGTGTTTGTCTTCCCTCAAGACACATCAAAATATTTCTTGGATAAACACTGTAAGATAAACAAACTTGAACCCGAACAACCATTGCGATCTGGCGCATACTGCAAGTATAACAGTCCCAAACAATCATTGTAGCACCGAAAAATAACACGTTGTCTTTTTCACAGGTGTGTATTTCAAGTAAGTGGTATTACGTAAGGTACACTCCGTTGGCAATGGTTTAAATTCCCGTTTAACGTCATTTCCCATTCAATGAAGCAGTACACATCCTACCCCCGCACGGTGTACTTTACACACTGAACCCACAGGTATGCACAGGTGTGTACAGGTATGCTGCGCGCATCCAAACGCAAATATCACCATATTACAGACCCCCAAAATCGTTGAAATGCGTTACGAAACCTGTCTGTTCAAAAAGCTAGGAATTCCTCCGTATATAAAGATATAGACAGATAAATGTACTTTTACACTTCGCCGTTAAAAACGTGAAAATCTGTCTAACAGAAATCAGGTCCGTTTTGTAGCGATCAACTGAATAAAGGTCGAGAACAATCGACAAGATGAGTCACCGGTATTCCCAGGATATGTGAGTCACTGGTTTTCCCCTTGGTGAGTACGTAGTTCACATCCTCACATTCTTTCTTACAGTACAGTCTGCTTCGTCATCCTTCTGCCAGCATGGACGAAAACCGCGGAATATTTCGTGCTGCGTCATTTCTAGTAATCGCGATCGTTCTCTATGTTTTGCTGACTATACAGGTCACTCTCACTTCCGGGTTGCCTACAGCCGGACCAGCGACGTTCTGCGGCGAGGGACAAGTCTGGGACGACACGCTAAGAAGCTGTGTCTCCTGCTTTATCTGTAAGACATTTCCTGACACGCCACACTGTGGCTTATGCCCAGAAAGTCCCACTTCGTCCGATGATTTGGCGGCTTCTGAAGTAACGCAGCCGCCATGTACGGAAGGTTCGGTCTGGGACTCCTTCCAGAACGGCTGCGTTTCTTGCGAGGTCTGTGAGACCCACCCGGACACGCCGATTTGTAAAGCATGCAGCAGCCAACAGGACTCTCCGCGCTGCCCAGCAGGACTGGCGTGGGATCCGTTCCTGGAGAACTGTATGAGCTGCACGATCTGCGAGACGCACCCGGACAGTTATATATGCCAGGTGTGCCCTACTGTACCGCCCACAGGTGAGATATTTTTACCACACTTAAGCACATACTATACCCAGTAAATTTCTCGAGTAAAATACACGCCTAACCATTTACTTAGTAGTTCTAGAGTCTATTCCAGAGCATAGCCAAAAGTAAAGTTTATGATGCCGTTGTAATCTCCAAGCAGATTAGGTGGGGCAAGGGCACTTTATGTTGGCCGCCTGTATCCATTGTCCCATACTAGTATCCCACGTGGGCACACAAATGGATACAGGTGGCCAACATAAAGTCCACTTGCCCCATCTGCTTGGAGATTATTAATGCCGTTGTAGTCGTCCGCTGTCCGCCATTTTTTCGTCATTCGTAGAATTTCGTGTTCATATAACATGCATTTGTACTGTACCATTAAGAGACCCTGTCTTTTTTAGGCTGAACAAAAAACCATAATGCACTCCAAATGAATAACCAAGTGATTTGTTTGTTTGTTCCTAGTGCCTACAGGTCCTGCACACCCTCGCAGTGATGGCCCTGGCCCAGTCGTTATCATCGTAGCGGTCGTGCTGCCGTTTTTCTGCGTCTTCGTTCTTGTACTTCTAGCCGCCGCCATCGTCGCCAAGTGTGTACCAGTCAGATACAGACGATGCCCACATTGCTGCCAGAAAGAACATAAAGGTAAAGTCACGGAAAAGTAATTTTCATGGTCTAATTACTTGAAAACGTCTGAATTTTTGTCATTCTTTGATGTTGTCTTTGGCTTTAGACTACAAAACGTCTACATACATATATACATGTAGTATTTACTAGTAACTGGGGTGTGGGCGCAGTTATACAATGCCACTATTGTTGACCGTCCGCGTTGACTCACATTGGACCATTGCCAAAACTAAAAACCAAAACATCGCCTACTCAGTACCTAACACCAGCTCAGTAAAGAACAAGATATAGGCATGCCCTCAAGTACCAGAGTTATCAACCAAGGATTGGGGCGTGCAAAAGCTCATTCTTTCCTAGAACTATCGCAGAGTGGAACTCGTTGTCACCAAGCACAGTAGAGGAATTATCATTAGATAACTTTTTAAATAATGTTTAGAGTTAGATGTTCAAGGGTTAAGTGTAACAAGTCGTTCGGTGCACTGTAGCCAGCTGCCGCCGCGCCGCGTGCCTGCGAAGCTGGTGTGTTATGCCGAAAGGCGGTTATACCGGCCATACTGATACAGATACAGACTATCGCCAAAACTAAAAGAGCCCTGTATCCCTTTCCAGGGGACGAGACGAATAACGGGAAGAGGATCGCCCAGCCCACAGGTCATGACGACAGCGGCCGGTCTTCTCTGGTCTCCAGCCGCAGCGACAGCGACACCTGCGTCATGGAGCCCCTCAAGCCTCAGGACAACGCCGTGTAATGCTGTCCTTCTTTCCCAGGAATGGCTATGTAGGGTTGCCGGCCGGAGCTTGTATTGCGTGCGATCTACGTTTGATCAGAAAATCCCCCCCCCCCAAAAAAAAACGACCTAACCTGGAATGCCTGAGAAGGAAGCTTGTGCAATGCTGAGGTCACAATTCCAACACGGGCCCCGGCCGGGCAGCTTTTGGGGACGAAAAGAAAAGTACGATATGAAAGACAACAAAACACATAAAAGTTATCAGTTATAATCATGGGCACTATTTCTGTATATTCTTGATATGAATTGTTAATTTTTCGTTCATACAAACAGCCCGGCCGGGCCCCGGTTTGGAAATGTGACCTACGCATAACCAGCTGTCAGCAACAGTGAGAATGAAACAGGGACAACAAACTAAGAAAACTATGGAGCACGCTATGTTGCAGAACTCTTTTGCAGAGAGAGATTTAAAGATTGGTGTTAGCGTCTCACAAAGTTGTAACAATTGTATTGTTGGAGTAGAGCCTAGAATATTAGAACAGGATAAGGAAAAATAAAGCTGAGTTACAACCGAGAAAATGTTACTAATTGTCTTGAAGAAAATGAAATATTAGGTACTTGAAAGTTGGATAGTCATTTCCAAGTTCAGGGATGTAAGAAGTGTTCCACACTTTCACTTTCACTGTCACATGTTACTTGATTGAGTATGCTTTCCATTATACATTGATATTTATGTTTTTCATGAGACAAGTTTTTCATGAGATATATACCTGAAGAATTTACAAGGTTAACAGTGTAACTTATTAGCTTTTGCAAAGCGTATCTATCTGTAATGTTGAACCTAAAGTGTAGACTTTGTTGTACTGATTTTTCATTAGTCAACTATTTCATGTACATGTATTTATTACAGATATCAGGACCTGAATCCTAAAGAATGCAGTGTAAACTTTTGTTGCTTCTATAAAATGTTATAATTATTAAGGCTTTGTTTGATCCATCTACCTTTATTCTATTTTTGTTTGCTTGCTTGCATGTTTCAACCTTTCCTTATTGATGAAAACACAAAAAAACGAAAACAAAAATGCCCGCTTGTCATTGAGGTCATGACGGGAGACGTAACGGTCAGACAAAACGTAACAAAGATACATGTCGTTTTGACATGGCATAGTGCCTTTTTATGTACGTTCAACGAATCCTTGGAACTGGCGATCTGTGTTAAAGGAATGGATGAATCTTATTCGGGTTTACATTTTCGTCGCGTACGGTTTTAATCTTTTATGTTTTATACACAAACTGTGGGTTTCTTTCAAGAACATTCTGGAGCCTTCTGTTAAGAAGTAGTGTGCGGATAGCCTCCACCAGGTGAAAATACAGGAATACAGATACGGGAATACAGATCGATCGTAGAATTCGGCAAAAAGGAGAGTAAAATTGGTCAGGGGAGTCAGTCCGCGGAAGGTTGGTTCTTTCTCTGGCCAGTCAAACCCCAAGGCGGCCAAACTCCCCTGGCAATTATTCTCCTATATGTATACGTAGCTAGAGTAGAGGGTAGTTAGTCTGGTAGAGACTAGTGTGCGGTAGTTCAGTGATCATCGGCCCTGCTCGGAATTCGTGTCCGACATGTACGCTACTGGAAAGGGTTGCAGTCTTTCTGACGGAACGTTCAGCTGTGGTCCACTGTTTGTTTCTTCCTGTCGAAAACACCTAAGGCGGAATTTCCCGTATACTGTACATAGCGTCTGTCATCATACTAGGGGATTTTCAGTGAGCTAAACCTGTTCGAGATGACCTTCTTTCTTGCTCATGACCATGAGAGATCATTTTCACCAATCAGCGCAAGACACGAAAACATGTTGTTCAAGTCTTACATATGATTCATAGTCACTTGATTCAAAGTCACAATCCTTTGTCCAAGCTTTAAAGGTTTGACGTATTGCGTATCGGAAATAGAAATAGAATATGCCGTTAGCAGAAGGATATAAAGTCAACCCACATAGTTACCAATCGCATTTTATCGAGTTTTTGTGCCGAATAATGTTGGGCACATGGCTTTCCTACTGCTGACATTTTGTTGCGCGTTGCTATGCAACGTTGACCTGACTTCCGGGTTCCCCACAAGTTCGCCATCTTGTCCTGAAGGCCAAGTTTGGGACTCTCACCTTAAGGCCTGTCAGAGCTGTACGATCTGTGAAGTTTACCCCGAGACGCCTCTGTGTACCTCCTGCAAATCTACGTCAGCTCTTAACAGTGGTCCACAGAAAGTCTCTGTAGTGCCCTCAACCAACGATGGCAATACCCTTCCTCACACGACTTGTGAGAACGGGTACGCGTGGGACGATTTCCTAGGAAAGTGTGTGGACTGTGCGGTGTGCGAGACGCATCCGGACACCCCTCTCTGCCGAGAATGCCCAAGAACAGGTACGTAAGGTACCACAGCTTGGTCCCACGAACTATATGCGGCTTTATCTGTAATGCTTTGGTTTCGCTTTCGTTTTTATTACATACAAACATGTAGGTTATCTGATGACTGGATCATTTTCTTTTCCCCGACATACAGAGGCACCTGATGGCTTGAAGTCCGACACTCCCCCGGTCCTGGCCGCCGTCCTGACGAGTGTTGCTGTTTGCCTGACCGCCGGACTAGTGGGAGTAGCTGTGTGGGTCAAGTATGGTCCGGGCTGGGGCGTCTGTAGATGCTGTGGTCACGGACAGAAGGAAAGGCGGTTTCCAGAAGGTAAGCTTATGGCATAACATTAACTAAACTTCTTGAAAGTGCCAAAAGTCACAAACATATAACGTTACTGCTCTAACATTCAAAGCTAAAAATCTAATTCTTCCTTTTTGTTTGTGGTTCCATTCATTTGATTCATGTCAACACACACACACACACACACACGCACAGACACACACACACAAACCAACTACACACACACATACACACTGACACACACACGCACAATGTATATCATACATGTACCTTGTAGGTGTATGTGTAAAGAACATGTGAGATTGACTCAGAGAATGACTTGCTCATATCCCATTGTTATTTTCCAGTTGAGCCAGGCAAGACTCACAGGGGGTACAAGGTGGCTCAGGTCGCAGATGACAGTGGATGTTCGTCCATGGGTTCCAGTAATGCCAGCATTGCACTCCTCACCATGGATATAGTGACTGTAGTGTGAAGATTCATTATCTCACTCACCCACACTCACTATCCAGGATTTGATTATACTGCTGCCGTTGTCCCTGTCACAGGGGTCAGCAGCAGTCGGCTAGTAGTACTGGTCTTCACACCGCTCCTCCAGGCAGCCCTATCCAGTGGGTTAACACTGGCAAGGCCTCACTCTCTAATGTCTCTAACATCTACATGTGAGCTACAATGTATGAGTTCTTCAGCAATTCTAAAACCCCTGGAAGTGTGATAGAGGTACATCAAGGTGAAGCATTTTTTTTTGCCTGTAGCCTAGATGGTGTGTTATACCAGCTATACAGATACAGAAGGATTGAATTAGGTCAGAGGCCAGATAACTTTGGTGGCATTTGATCTTTTAACTGCCATTGACTTTGCCATTGTGTGAGGTGTAGTACCATCAGTGGAGTGGACTGCTGTGTGTGTGTCCCAAGACAATGTCTGTATCCATAACAACCCACCACACTTTTCAAGAGTAGGGGTCCTTCCTGGTGTGAGTGGTTCAAACCTTAGTCTGGTTTTACACAGCTTGTCCTTACATGTAGAAAACTGGTGTGTTACGCCTAGAAAGGCGGTTTACTGGTTATGCAAAACAAATACATGTATAACAGTTGTATGGGATGATATGCTTAATATATGTGTCACAGACTACATGTCTATCCAATTCAAATGTTACCTTTGCATGGTTATCATCAAACTGCAATAAAAATACTCACTTTTGTAATTTCGTATGCTCCTTTATTTTTAAGTCTTCATTCATTTTTTTTCTTTGAAAAGAAATTCTACATATACTGACATTTAACTACAGTACTAGTACTCATCATCATCATCACTACTTAACTACACTTGTACTTCAAAATGAAATGTAACATCCAGATTTACATATGAACTATGACCCTTGTTACATATATGTAGTCCCAGATTCGTTCAGCAGCAGATACGGGTTACCACAGAAGAGACCTCCTGTCTGATTCAAAGAGTTAAACTTTCACACATCACATTTTGAAAACTCTTGCTGTTGTCTCACTTTAAAAAAACCATAAAGTCGATAACACATTACACTTGAAAGGTGGTTACGACTTACGTCTTAAGTACCAAGTATTCACCCAGGTCTCATGTTACATGTAATATTTCACAGATTCCATGTTTTCTAGCCCTACTTTCGATGGATGCTTCTTTCTGACAAATTTTGATCCTTGATTGGAAAGCGTAGTTATCCTTGATCACATTGGCTCATCCTGTCTTCATAGCTGCATAGAACAACTGGGAAAGGCTCTGCCCCTTAGGCTTTGCCAAAAAAATCTGTGGTGCCAGAGATACTGATCGAAGCACCACCCTAGTGTCCATAGCTGGAGTTTTCAAAACATGGTACATTTCATTCAGCTTTTAGTAGATAATGGCTGTAGCAGGTTTTGTATTTGCCACTAACTCTTTCTGGAACCTGAGTTTGGTTGTCTTGCTGTTGTTATCGTTTAGTTCATGGTGATATTTCAACATTGAGTAAAGAGACTATTTTCACACAACCAAGTCTTTTATTCAGCCGACGTTTTGGTGACCGTCTGTCACCTTCCTCAGGGCAGTTCTGACTGGTTCACATCAGAATTGCCCTGAGGAAGGTGACAGACGGTTCACGAAAGAGTAAAAAGACTTGGTTGTGTAAAAAAGAGTCTCTTTACTTAGTGTCTTACCAACTTGATGAAACTATTCACGGATATTTCAACATGTAAAACAAAGATTTCGGTATAGCCAGCTGTGTGCCCCATTGCCAAGTCCAGCGAAACCTGCCATGTTTTAAACTCCAGTTACGGACAAAACATTTCACTTTAAACATATCTCATGACACTGAATACGATGATGAGTTTACATATTATCTCTATCATGATGACATCATACAGCACACTTTTACAGACAGATGAACACACAAGAACGTCACGTCACAAAATTTACATGGCCACTTTCATGGAAAACCTTAAAGGAAATGAGACCATCATATGTACATTTAACACTTAATATCTATCAATTTCATAGGTATGAAAACTTTGACATTTGGTATATTAGGTGTTAGGTGGGGGCAACGTAATTGAACACTGTAAGCAAGAAATCTCTTTGTATAATTTATTCCATTTTCGTTCAACTAACTATATTATGTTTCTCTCACAAGTTTTGCACACCCGAAGATGTAGTCATCAAGACGATATCTTGCAAGTTAACGCTTTCCACTGCAACAACTACATATGAACGTGCAGTTATAATAAATTTGTGACAATAGACAACGGAACCGCATTCAGGATTGCTCTTACCTAGACTTCGATAATAAAAAAGCTGAGGAATAATTTAATGAGCTGACCATGACACCATTTTTACAGCTCTATCACTCAGATGTGCTCCCAGACACCAATGTTTGCAGGCAAATTGAGACCACAGCAGCATCAGTTCAACAACAACATGGACTCATGGCTCTTAGGCCCACCGATACAGCCATTAGGACTAGTCCACTTTTAAAAATTCAAAATCCACAGGGGCAAAAAGAAGACATTCTATGCAGGGGCACAAAAAGTCAAAATGATTTGGCCTGTTTTAAGTACAAAGAATGGTTGGGGAAAGAAATTGCATTTTTAAGAACTTGCGTCACATCAAACCCATAGCTAGAGCGGCTCTTAAAACAGCATGTTTACAAGCATTGAATAATCACCCGTGTAGTCTCCTGTAGATGCTGTAACAGACAACGAATATACAGTCAAGTACTCCAACTGTCATGCCTGTATTTTGTAGTTACAATACACAATCATGTATCTACGATGGCTTACATTGACCATGAATTCCTCAGTAACTGTAATTTGTATACTTAAACCAGTTCTATTATAATATCAGTTAATTGAAATTGGCATGTACAGGCTTTGGTACAAAGAACACTACACTACAACTTGATTCTGTAATTACTGACCATATCCATCCTTTCCTTGAACTACTTGTACGTAAGAGTTATAATGTGTATATCACAGTGTTGTATGACTAATACTGCCAATGTTGGACGTCCCCTTCTTTGCTATATCGTAGTTAGTAGTTGCCGGCTGTTGCCCATGACCCAGCCATGGTTGGCATGGTTACCAGACGTGGTTGTCATGGTTACCAAACGTGGGTTACCACACGTGGGTTTCCCTGATTTCGCTGATGATGTGGCCAGCTTTCTGAAGAGCCTGAAGAAAACAGTTATGTCAGTGAAGGTTAGACATCCAGGTAATAAGATTAGCTAAAAAAATCAGTTACTCAAGCAACTGGATATGATTTTGGAAACGGTCAGACGTTTTCAGGTAGCATTCACTACCTTTCGTCAGTGACACAAGAGACTTGTCAGAAAGTCCAAAGACTTCCCAAAAATTGTCTTCACTTATTTGCACACCAATCAATAGTTCTTGCTTATAAACCTGCCTTTCTGCATAAGTCTCTAGTGTCACTGACGAATGGTAGTGGATGCTACCTGAAACGTCTGACTGTTTCCAAAATCATATCCAGTTGCTTGAGTGACTGTTTTTTTGGCATAGAGAAAACAGTTGACTGGATCACCATGCTTTCCCTTAACCTTCACCCTGCTGGTTGTACCTTGTGACCAATGCAAGGCCACCTCAGCAGGGAAAAGGTCAAAAGTTTGAAGTGGAAGTCAGAACATGAGTAGTGAAGAGGCTCTATACTGTATACCTGTTACATATGACAATTTCTATTGCAGTTCTAAGTTAGAAATATTTCCTAACAAAGTTAAAGAAGCATGACTAACCTTGAGCATCTCTGCTGCCTCCTTCCTCCGCGTTTCGATCTGATCAGACTCCTGCAGCAGGTCTGTGAAGAAGTCAGTCTTGTACAGCTGGCTCACCAGCTCTCTTATTTCTTAAGAAAACTGAAGAACCATGACTAACCTTGAGCATCTCTGCAGCCTCCTTCCTTCGCGTTCCGATCTGGTCGGACTCCTGCAGCAGGTCTGTGAAGAAGTCAGTCTTGTACAGCTGGCTCACCAGCTCACTTATTTCTTAAGAAAGTTAAAGAAGTATGACTAACCTTGAGCATCTCTGCAGCCTCCTTCCTCCGTGTGCCGATCTGATCAGACTCCTGCAGCAGGTCTGTGAAGAAGTCAGTCTTGTACAGCTGGCTCACCAACTCACTTATTTCTTAAGAAAGTTAAAGAAGCATGACTAACCTTGAGCATTTCTGCTGCCTCCTTCCTCCGTGTGCCGATCTGGTCGGACTCCTGCAGCAGGTCTGTGAAGAAGTCAGTCTTGTACAGCTGGCTTACCAGCTCACTCTGCAGGTTATCCTTCACAAAGTTCACCAGGAAGTGCATGATGGCCTTCGGGACACTGCGGGCATAAAAAGGTAATGGTAAAGGTTCTGAAGCCTTTCTCAAGGTTGTAGAGGCAGTGGGTTGTTATCCACTATGTCTAGGACACGGTATTGGAAGGCGGACCCCATATCCTTTCCTTCCACTGCCTTGTACCTCCCCTACCAAAGTCAGGTACCCATTTTACACCTGGGTGGAGTGAGGAAAGTGTAAATTACCTTTCCCAAGGGTACAAGATCGGTGGCATCGGACAGTATTTGAACCCGGGACTTCTTGGGTCTGGGCCGAACACTCTACAGTTATGCCACTCGACCCAACGTCATCAAGGATCGGGGTAAATTATCAAACTAGGTACATCAGGATAAGGGTAGTAGAATCATTATCCAACACAACCTTCTTCACAACTTATACTACATCTACTGGCCAGGGATACAAATCTTCATATATAACTACTTGTCTTGTAGGATTAGAAGCCATAATGTTATGAAACCAAAAAAAAATTTCACATAAAGTAATCCTTGGGCAAGCTAAAGAATAAACTATTGTTTCCTGAGTGAGGCTTCACAATCAAGATTTGTCTTATATCAACTCTTTGCTGATGATACTTCTTTTCTGATATGAAAATACTGATCAGAATTATCATACATACCTATCTTGGATGTTTTTCCTTACAATCAGGAAGTAGGACTTGATGAGACGTTCTGAAACAAGAGAAAAAAAGACCCTTTAACTACTGACAGGCAGTGCTTGACTAGTTAAATCTAACCAAAAGGTTTCAGTTTAAAAACAGTGTAAAGACATTCAAAGTGTCTATAATTTGCTGTTTTCTTATATGACTTGACTTACCTATGACCTCACAGTCTCTCTGTTCCCTGGGACTAAGCTTGCGAGAGATGGGGGTTGCCTGTAGGAGACAACATGGCCGTGTTAGTTCTACAGAACTTACTCATGACAGAGTGCTGTATCATGGTTAGAACACTGCATTTGTAACTGAATGAAAGTTGCATGAAAAGTGTATGTAACAGTAGCATTAAGGACTCAGTAGCATCTCACAATCAATCAATCAATCTTTATTCAAACAACTAGCAGACGACAGTCTGAATTGAGTTGTTTTTACAGTTTATAAAATTGACGTTAAACAACACTAATAGTTTAAAAATTACATAATTTACAAGTTAATGACACAAATGCGGTAGGGAGCAATCACCACATCTCACCACATCTCCACATTGAAAGCTTCGTCCTTAAATACACATTCTGAAAGAAGTCAGGTATTTACAAGCCTAAAATGTCATAGCATCCATATCAGTTTTGCATGGTATTTTGTCATGTGCAGTCTGTTGGTGCAACTGTTGGTTGTCTTCTATGTGTGGTTTTTCTATGTTTTTTTTCTTGTTTTACCAACATCTAGCTAAGCAGAGAAAGCAGTATGTACCATTTGGGAAGTCTTTGGTATACCCCACTGGGGTTTGAACCCATAACCTCCCGAATATGAAGCTAACAACACTATATCCTACTAGGTTATTCCAGCATTCAAAACTGCCCCCTAGAGGAGTTAGTCAGTCCTGCAGTCAGCTTGTCGTACCTGTACATATGGGAGGGGAACCTGGTGGTTCTGGTAGCGAAACACAAATGGCAAAACATGCTGAAACTGGACAACAGAGGGGGCGGGACATTCACATCTTCACAACAGTGCCGGTTAGTAACCAGGCTGTAACAACAGCTTACACTGAGCACATGGTCAACTGGCTGAGACAAGAAACTATGGGGCATAGCCAAGTTTCTGTAATATCTGCAAAAGTTAAGTTGAACTTAGAATCATAGATACTGCATGAGGGGACATCCAGAGAAGCTATAGCCTTGCAATTTAGGACTTGCAGCTTTAACATTCTGCCTATTACTCACCCAATAGAAATTTGGCACCAAATGGCTAGTAGCAGGGAGAAGGTTAAAAGCCTCATAAAATGTGATGTCAAAGCATCATAACATGGCCATGGGGTAGTTATTTGACGTAAGTACCATATCACTGAAAAGGCCAGTTGAAAACATGTGCCCAGTGTGTGTTGCCTCTAACCATACCACAAACTGTCCTGATGCAGGGTCCTGACTTGTACAAACAGAAGTAAAGAAAAACAAAGAAACAAAGATGCAGCCAGACTATATAATTTGGAATTTCAAACCTTCATCATATACAGATGATACAGACATTAGATCAATTTGAGGACATACAAAACAAGACACAAACATCCAATTCAAGAGCAAACAATAGACAAACACAATCCAAAGAAAAACATTGCAATGCTTTCAGACAAGCTGGTAAAGGAGTTTGGATTCATCTCCAAGCAGATCATATGGTAGCACGGCAGTGTCCATTGGACAGAGTCCTGGATCCTGTCCATTCGTACAAACTTCTCTGGCTAATGGATACTAGTAGTACTGTCTTGCCACCGAAAGGGATCTGCTTGGAGATTACATGTAGTTTGGATGTCATTTTCCCCATGCAGGTAGAGACAATGTGTGAGAATCTTTGCTGCAGGAGTTCTGCAGACTTACTGTTCTCGCTGCCACCTTGGCTGCCGCAGCAATGCCACTAGCTACCTTAGAGGGGGAGTCTTCCGGCTCATTTTGCTGTAAGAGAGGGGGTTATTCTGTCCTCATGTTGTATGTAGGAGGACAGTGTTGAAGAACAATACATGCAGCACTCTCCTGAACACAACTGTCCAACAAAGAAAATCCAGAAAATTTCATACTCAGTCTGTTAATGTTGATCAAGATCAGATATGCATGAATACAGTGCATGTAGCAGTCATGGATTCAATGTGTATCAGAATTGATTGCTACTTTGCTACTTTTATCCATAAATAGTTTCATTTGCTACTTTTAATCTTTAGTCCAAGCTGTTGTGTCAAACAGATATCTCAGTGTGGAGAGTGCTGGATTTTGTGTACTTCAACCTCTGAGTCACAGAAGCAGGATAACCTTCCCACAATGCCCAGGGAGTACTAGTCCTTTATGGATGATAAAGCACCAGTTGGGCTTGTGGTAAGATCCTGACAAGTTGGAAGACAAGAGCATGCTTGTAACTTGATTAGCTGCAACAGTGCAGAATGGTGGTTTAAAAAACAGTTTTTCATTCAAAAGTTTTTCATTCATTCTGTCATACTCATCAGCTGCAACAGTTCAGATGGTTTAGTTTTTTTTAAATTCGTTAATTCTGTCAAACTCTTTCTGTACCATGCAAGTTGTACTTGTAGTGCAATTTTTTAACAGTGCAAAAATTAATGATTGCATATTGTCAAATGTATACAGTACAATGTACATGTATTTGCATGATTTTCATCTAGCCCTCGGAAATCGGGGAACAACAGACGATAAACCGGATAGTGAGTGAGTTAGTGTTCTTCAGAAAATGTATTCGAAATCTGCAACGCTTTTTTCCAAGTTGCATAAAACAAAAAGGCGAAATTTTGCTTACCGGAGACACCCACAAATTTTCCAGCATGCTCTTGCCAACAGCAACCTCCTGTAAGGAAGCCAAACGTGAGGCTAGTTTTACTCTAGTCCTCTAGATGTTTAGTGTAAGCATGTCGGCAGAACGTACTGCACCTGCGCAAAACCCGTAATGTATTGTGCATAGCACTTCAGCAGAACATCTCATATAAGGTTGTACTTGCACATATAAGGTTAACATCCCGTCTGTAGTTTCAAAATGTTGTATTGGAAAAGATATCCTATGCAATAGACAAAATTCTGATGCAACATCGACCAAAAATCCAACGAAAACTGCCAAAAATCAGGGTTTTCCGTAGCCTGTGAAGCCCAAGCTCTTTGTCAGGCTCCCTATACAGTCCGCCACCCAAGACTAACTAGGGAGCTGGCAAAAAGCCAGGTTCAGTCAGGTTTGGTTTTGTGCAGGCGCAGTACGTTCTTTCAACATGCTTTCAGTGCAGATTATGTTAAAAGGCTTACAGTATCGAGCAGGTTAACCCCATGCAGACTGCTAGCGGTGACGGAGGTCTTGGGTGAGTGGACGGGTGAGTTCTGCTGGGGGGGCGTGCCGGCAGGCGTGTTCTCCGAGGACTGGTTGGACCCCCGGAGCCAGTTATTCAGTTTCCACGCGCTCGCCCCGAGGACCTTGTCCTCCGCGTTTGCGACGCCGTGCGACGGTTCGTGGGGCTGCATGGCCGGGCCGGGCGGAGGCTGAGTTAGGGTTAAAGGTTAGAGTTCGTGGTTAGATGTACATGCTAAGTAGCATGGTGGAATGTCTGCACAGTACAAAAAATCTTTCATACTATAAATACTATGAGAAAGTTCACTATGTATTATATAGCAAAGTTGGGTAGACAATCTACAGGAGAAACAAAAAATGCCTCGTCGTAAGGCATTGAATTCCATATATGACTATTCTTTGGCCAAGCATCATGTTTGGGATATATACTTCAACTAGAGAACAAAGCTAACCACCCACACCTACACAAATGTTAACACATTCAACACAATAGATGTAAAGCAATGAATGCTATGCACTGGACTCCTATGAGACAAACTACACATAACGACTTTTGCTATCTTTTACAAACAGCAGATATTAATTTTCCAATAGTTTTGAAGCAGCCAGCAGTTACCAGTACAGATAGACTTTTATTTTTTCACACGTACGTTTTGGCATTTAACCACAAACAGGAGAGAACCACGACTAATCTAGTATAGAGACAGGGGTTGTTGAAAAGCAGATGTGAGAGATGGAAACACGGAAAGCAGAGACAGAGGGAGGGGGAGGGGGGTATGAGATGATTCACCCTGGGGCCTGTAAGCACGTCGGCAGAACGTACTGCACCTGCGCGAAACCCGTAATGTATTGTACATAGCATTTTGGCAGAATGTCTCATATAAGCTTGTATTCGCTCATATAAGGTTAGCATTTCGACAGAAGTTTCCAAATTTTGTTTCGAACAGAATATCCTCTGCAACGGGAAAAATTCTGATGCAACATTGACCAAAAACCCAACGAAAAATGCGAAAATGCGGAGTTCTGCGCAGGCGCAGTACGTTCTGCCGATGTGCTGGGAGGGGGGTATGAGATGATTCACCCTGGGGCCTGTGGATGTCCTGGGTGATGATCTCATGTGGGATGGACCAGTTATACTGTCTGGTGAAGACTGTAGATGAACAAACAACCAACACAAGATTCTCTACCAACAGTTTGAACTATCAGTCAGTAGTCTAAATCCTTCATTTGTATCTAAAGGAAAACAGAAACAGAATTCCAAGGCCCTTTGACTTCACACCTCAACAATTTTGTTCTCTCTCCATAGAAATTCGCCAACAAAAACGTATAGCAGACTGTTTACTTTTAATTTGGAATTCAACTATGTGACCAAGCTGAAAATCTTTGGCTGAGAATATCATTTTACTTCAATTTTATCTCTGGAAAACTTATTAAGGATTAAAAATTCAATGTATTGAATGGGACGATGAAAATATCTGGAAAGATGACTTGTCTGTCATATGATCCTCTCAGACAATTGAGAACCTTCTACAGCCAACAACTATGAATTTCTTCCATGTGTGAATCTGTATAAACTCATTACAAATTCCTTAGCTCAAATGCGTTAACAAGAAAACATTGAGGGAGACGATCAGGCTGTGGTCTGAAGAGGAATGAGACGTGGTTGGACATGGGAGGGGCTTGAACAGTAAAACCAACTGTATATACTACAGTCTGAAGCACCTTGAGGTGGAGGGACAGTTGTTCCCGGTCCTCAGGGCATCAAACAGGGAAGAAAACAAACCATGAGAGAGAGAAGAACTCTTCGCAACATGCGTTGTGAAGTAGAGAGAAGATGTATTATCAAGTTTACCACAAGATAAAAAGATCTGGAAGCTTTTACTGTGACTTTTGAATGGAAAAATTGTTTTCTATGTAATAAAACTTCTTAAATTTTTAAAATGGAAAATTTTAATAGAATTTTTGTTATTTTAACCTAGTCCATTTGTAGAAGGAATATGTGGAAATGATTAACCTGCATGTATAGCTTTTAAAAGAAAAAGCATAAACATTAGCTTAAACAATCTGAAAATACATGTATAGAGTGTTGAGAAAAATAGAGACATGAGAAAAATACAATAAACCATCACCTTAAGGTAACTTCTATACAGTGAAAATATGAAAGATTTTACTGGTCTCAGGCTAATTCAACATTGTTTAACAAATCCCTCAGCCCCGATGAAGGTTCGCAAAGAAAATGCTGCATATAATATTTTATTTAATCTCTCCTGTCATCATGTCACGGACTGGGAAAAAGAAAGCACTCACAGCTGCCAGAAACCACACGTACACGGCTAGGAAATCTACACGACTAACCGTAGGTACGGGGGACACGGGCGCGCTCCAGTTCTCCTGGTTCAGACCCACTTTGGTCAGAATCTTCGACTGAGTCTGACCGACCCAGACAATCAAGCAGCGTGAACGGAAAATTCAGTCGGTTTGAAATCTACCTTGCTAGGCTACAAAAAGGTGCAGCATTGTGAAGTTAGCAAAAGAACAGACAATCGTAAGGAAACTTAGGACTTGGTGACAGCGATGTTAGGAAAGATTAGTACAAGAGGAGTTAGGTTAATATATAATTATATAAGTACTTTTTGTTACAGTGTTTAGGAACTTAATACATGTATTTGTTGACAACTTGACATGCATACAACCATGCTGGTCTGGCAGTTTGATCTTAATTCAAAATACAATTATGGCTGCCATTTCAAGAACAAAAACACTATTCAAATATATTTTGTCTTTCTCTTGCATCATGATATTATCATGTTGGAATGCCACAAATTTGCTGCCCATCTTAAATCATGAAAAAATTTCTGAGTCAGTGCCCCTCCTTGAAAATGATTGTCTAAAAAAAACATAACTGCCATGTTGGGGGGTGGAGGGGCGCACAGAACGTAAAGATGATTGTTTCATGACGACAATAGCATGACAACAGGACAGCCTGAGTCACAACACAGACAAGCAGTAAGATGTACAAGACCAGTCATGCACACAGACACAGTGAGAGTGACTCTGAGACTATTGACAGTTATGTATTAAACTAACAGGGCTCGAAATACTGGGTGCATGTGCAACTTGGTGTACCCAAAATTGGAGCTGTGCACCCAAATATTTTCGTAGGCTTACATACATGTATGTAAAGATATCTAATGTATATCTAATGTATACTAGTATACAGTATATTCTTGACATCTAAATGTAAAGTTTTTGTAACAGTTGTACAAGATTATTTTTCTGTGACAAAAAAAAAATTCCTGTGCACCCAATTTCTTGGGCTGGGTGAACCAGTGCACCTATTCCCAAAAGTGAATTTTGAGCCCTGGTATTATATGATGTTAGCTACCGTCCTGTAGTCCTACCTTCACAGCTTTGCTGTCCCCCGCCTGCACGGAGTGGAAACCGTGGTCACCTGGACCGACTGATCGGTTCCGCTGCTGCTTACGGAGTTCCTGTTAACAACAGAACAACATTAACCACATGTAACACTGGACTTCTCATTTCTTCCTTCAACACAGACTTACAGTGAATTAGCTGTGAATTGTAGAGATTGAGTAAATTTTCACAATCATGAGCAATGCCTGGCTAGAGTCTCAGCATTACAGGTATGAGTGTTATGTTTATCTATATCATAAACTCTTATTATCACGAAAGTTCATCTGTGTTGGTAATAATCAAAGTAAAATGTTGAACTAACTCAAGATTTCACAGAGATCAAATTTTTAGCAACCACTGTCGCCTTCATCATCACTTCAACATGTTTGTAACCGTAACTCTCAAGAGATCACGTTCTGAAGTGATTGGTCATTCATTATCAGACAGTGGTCATTGAAAATTTGATCTCTGTGAAACCTTGTGTTGGAATAATGTTCAACATTTTACTATCATAAACTCTTGTTAAATCCATCACTAAAGCAGTGCAGATAAAAGTTAGTAAATCTAAACGCCAACAGGAGACCAAAGAACACCAAGCAGAGACCGTACCTCTTTGGAGTTAACCAGCGCTGAGACCAGGCTGGCGTCAGCAAAGTCGGGATGTTTGGTGTTGACGTATGCAAGCTCTATTTGTACTATGTTCTCAACCTGGGGTGTGGGAGGGGGGCGAGAAGACAAGAGAGAAACTGGTGTTTAAACCGTGTGTAACATGCGTCGTACCTCCTGGCTGCTGACGAGGGCGGATATCAGGCTGGCGTCGGCGAAGTCGGGGTGTTTGGTGTTGATGTAAGACAGCTCGATACCTACCAGGTTCTCAACCTGTAAACAGATTGGCACACTGTGTGCTTGTGTGGGGCAGTGGCGGCTTATAATCGGGGCAACACATGTCAGGCAGGCCAGCCACTCGGAATGATGACTGTCAGACATCTAGTAGTTGGTTATTTTAAGGCTTGGGGGAAAGGATTTGTGTAAATTCAACACACACACAAAAAAACAAGTTATTTTAGTAGCTAACATGTTCTGAAGGTGTCAAGAAATAAAAGTTAGAAATGGATGTTTTATGGCGTAAATGTTTGCAATTTTATCAACTATTAAGTAAGGAAGTAATAATACAGGCAGATCTACATGTATATGAAGGCAATCAAACTGAATGCAGTCATAACACAAATTTGTTATATGTTGCATTTTTCTTCACAAAAAGTCAGCACAAGGATTTTAATGAAATTGTTGTCTTAAATACTAGCATATGCAATTACTCACTCATCAGACAATTGTAAATTACTATATAGTTCAGTCCAGATATGACATGACATTCACATCTCTACATACACTACACACTCAGGTCTTGCTTAAATGCGTGCAAAATTAGGAATGTTGGCTGGAAAATTACTATTTACATTCATGATGTTATAGAATGCCATTATGATACCTACCATGGAGTTAGTGACGGGCAGCCTTTTTCTGAGCAGGTTTGTGACGACTTCCACAGTTCTGTCATGGAGGCGAGGGAATCTCAGCAACTCCTACATAATACAGGCAGTAAATACACATTTACCAATCATAGGATTGTTGTCATCTGAATGGACGTTATGATTGGATATTATGTTATACTTAATCAAACTTTCAACAGCTCTTAACGTTAACTAATGTTGTTGGATAAATACTGGAATATGCCTTAGACAATGTCTTGTATTATTGCTCTCAATGTCAAAGTATACTGGTATGGTGCTTAGGGTGGCACCCATCTCCATTTCTGTAGCCCTTGGGCCAAAAGTTGTGCAGGCATTACAATAAGCCTATTCGCCATTACCGGCGCGAAATGCATGATGGGTAATATCCGCCATTTTGAGAGATAAACAAAACCGCGTCGCCCCGCGACACAGCGAGCGCGAGTGTCGAATCCCGCTACGTAGCTAAAAAAAATGAGTTTACCCGGGCCGTAAGTGGAGATTTTATATCTTATTGGACGGCAAAGATGACAGACGTTTCTTGGTTGAGGTTAGACTGCCGGTAACTGCCGGTTTTCAAGGCGTTTCCGCGAGTCACGTCCAGGGGGAAAAGCCTACAACTTCAAGGCGCATACAACTTCGTATGCTTAAAAGAATCACGACGCGGTTGCCGAATTCGCCGAAGACAGCAGCAGGTTCAGTTGTGAATGTCAAGAATTATAGTCAAGAATAAAAAAACTCACCTATTCTCGGCCCGGTGGGCTTCACGGAAGGGTAGTTCGTCGAACCGAAGGACGACGTCAAAGGATGCCCCTCCCCGCACTTAAAATCGGCCCAGCACTGATCACGAGTTT